TTCCTTTCTCAGAACATCAACATTGGTGAAAGATAGTTTCTTTCTATCCTAATGTCCAAGGAGCATTAGGAGGGACTGCCCAGCGTCCAAAGCTGTGGCTCTCAGCACTCTGCCTGGGGTCAGCACCTAGCACAGAGCAGGGAGGGTGAGGTCAGACCTTCTGCCAAATTCTTTCCTCTCTTGACTTTCTTTATGGCCACCCAACCCCATCCTAAAATGCCTTAGGTGGACCCCAAAGGCTTTGTGTTTTCATGGGCCTTGAAATCCAAGGGAGGAAATACAGCAGCAGAGCTGAACAAGTTAAATCATTTCTCAGAGGAAGGCTGCCAGCCCCCTCACTGGAAGTTAAGAATACCAAAGTTTAGGTACTTGTGACCCTCTTTTTAAAAAGTTCTAATAACAATGTAATGAAAATAGCAAATGCTAATTACAAGCAAGACAGTCTACTTTATTGTTTACCCTTTGGTTCCTATTCATGTGAATTAGTTTTTTTTTCCTGGTACTGGAAGTCGAACTCACAACCTTGCACTTTCCAGGCAGGCACTGTGCCGCTCAACTATACCCCAGCCCCCCCACGTGAATTTTTGTTATTGACATACTTCTTTGTTGGGAGAAAAAAAATAGGTATCTAGATAAAAGGTAATTTGGAAACACTTATTAGATGCCTTAAAGTCACGTAAACTTTGATATTACAATGACACATCTAGAAATTTACCCTAAGGAAATAACTAAGAGTGTAAGGCAAAGATTTAAATAGAAAAAATGTTTATAGCAGCAAAAGGTAAAAATAACCTAACTTCAGAATTAGGGTGTAAAGAGAATCCTTATAAAGCAATGGCACATAGCCATCAAAAATAATACATATTAATTCTCAATAAAGATATTTATATTATATTTGTAAAGAAAAAAAGGCAGGGTCAAAATAAAAGTGTAGTAGAATTGTAAAGGAAAAATTCTCAAGTGTTAGAAAGCTATTCCCTGTAAATTAGAGTTTAGGGATGATAGTTAAGTCTGCATTTCTATGTCTGCAGTTGTAATTTTTAACAATGAGTACTTACTCCTTGGTGATAAGAGCTACAAATGTTAAAATAAGCACCCCTATAATAATGCAGATATGATTCCATGTTCTGCCTTTGTCACTTGTGTGAAGTCCTGTAAACAGCACAGAACTTTCCACTGAGGCTTGAAAGCCTAAAATACCTCCTTTACAAAATAGGTCAGACCTTTAGAAAATAGGTGCAGAGAAGCCACATGCCCTTGGCAGAGCCTTGAGCCCTACAGAAAGCAGATGTGCTGTCCTCCCTGAGTTTCCCAGTCCACGTCCTCTGTCATTCCTGTGCTGGGTAGAAGGGAGCTCGCTCAGAACGGTCACCCTGGGGCACCTTGAGATGCTCTTGCACACTCTTCTGCTCCCTTTGTCTGTCAGGGAACCCAAGAGGCCTGGGCAGCACTCCACAGCCTCAGCTGGGGAATGGACATTCACACTTCAGTTCGGGGGCCTGCCATCTGCACCCGGCAGCTCAGGTCCTCCCTGAAGCAAGAGTTTCAGATGACATTCGGTGATATGCTAGGAAGTGTTACAGCCTGCAGTGACCTTGCCCAGCTCCCTGACTTTGGGACAATCAACAGCAGAAAAGGCAAAAACTCTTCTAGAAAGCTGCCCTTCTTGCCTGTCTTTCAAAACGCACAGGACTTCTTCCTATCAGAAGTTAGGGCTAATTGTCTTCTAAGAGAGTCATATAAAAATGTGTTTAACTAAGACCAAAAGGTTCCTACACTGGAGTAAAAGCTGATAATCAACAGACTTCAGGGTCACATACAGTATAAGTCTCCTCCTTGAAGAATCACTGATCAGATGCAGGCTCCAGTCCTCCAGAGAGGAATCAGAGCAAGCTGTGCTGAAGGCCCCTCGGACCTCAGGCAGCTCAGGGAAGTGCTGCTGGTAACAACAGGGCTTAGGCGTGGATCCTGAGGGTTGTAGACAAAAACCACAAGGACAAAAATCCAAAGACTGAAGAATTTGCTGCCGCAGTGGGAGTCTGAAATAGAGTGTCATCATTTATCTTCCCACAGTAACCACTCTAGCAGCCCAAGTGGTGGTCTCAATCCCTGCCCCAGCCTCCCCAAGCAAAGCTAAGCTGTGCACCCCCTCCTCCATCTTTCCCTCCCATCGCCAGCCCCTAGTGAGATGCTTGCAACAAGCACTAAGTTCCCTTTTTGTAGAAATCCCGCAGCTGCTGCTAAAGAACAGCAGAGCCTGTGTCCATTCTTAAGGATGGATTTCCCAGAACTATCTCTGTGTTCCTGCTGGGCGCATCATTCCTGAAGCAGCAGCACTGCACAGGAAATCCCACGTAGTCACAATCCCCCAAGTGCCACTGCCCACAGGCACCCCTGCCTACTCTGCTAAGCAGGGGTCCACGTGCTTCCCACATCTCCTCATAACTGTACGTTGTTCGTTGAGGTAGTGATTATATAAAACGGCTTTTGACACCAAGCTGGGGATGACCACTGATTTTCCCTGCTCAGTCTTGTTCCTTGAAATCGTACCTCATTATCCAACTCAATTTTCCAGGCCAGACACTTAAACTCTTTTCCAACTGCAAAATCTCATCTGAGCCCTCTTGGCTTTGCACTCTTCACTATTCTGAATGTTCAAGTGGCAATATCCAAAATTAGTCTTGGCCCCCTAGGCTGTGAACATTTAACAGATTGTGAAATCTGGGTGTGAGTTTTAGAACCCACACACTTTTTGTCTTGTTAATTAATCAGTCTCTTTTAAAAGTGATTTCCTTATTTGTAGATGATGTCTAGTCACTTAATGAAACAACTAAAGAGCTACAATTCCTGCAAAGCTTTATGCCACAAAAATGTCCAAAGAGTGGCAGTGAGCTCAAGGCCAGCAGCCTCATTCAGCTCAAAGGTGTTTTAGGGCTCAGCACAAGCAATACCAAAAGTCACCAGCTAGTGTTTTCTCCAAGTAACCACATCAGTGAGGCCAAAAGAGCACTCAGGCTGCTTGCCCGGTAGCTTTCTGCAAGCTCACTGGTTTCAAGTATTTAGACCATAAACATAATAGGTACTGAGGCAGAGGCTAAACATAGAGAATAGTACTCACTCCTTTCCACAAGGATCTCATTTAGATGTTACCTTCAATGAGTTTAAAATTAAATTGCCTCTACTCACACAGCTAGTAAAATGCAATCCTTGAGATTTGGACCAGGGCTGTGCAACTGAAGGGCAGGGTTTTTTGTTTTGGTTTGGTTTTTTGTTTCTTTTTTAAGCCGGGGTTTCACTATGCAGTTCAGGCTGGCCTTGAACTCATCAGGGAGCCAAGGCTGGCCTCAAACTCGAGATCTTTTTGCCTCGGTCTCCTGAGTCTGGGATTACAGGTGTGCGCTACCATGCCCAGCAGGGCAGGGTTTCTTACCAGAGGTGCTGTTGACTTTTGGATAACTGTCAGGGAGTTTTCCTTTGTACTGTAGGATGTTTCCTAGGCCGCATGTCTCTGCTTACCAGATGCTAGCAGCCTTCCCTAGGCGTGACAGCCAAAAAGATCTCTAGACACTGCCAAATATCAGGAGAGGCTGGAGAAAAGGTGAAAATTGGCCCCAAGTAAGAACCACTGCTCTAGAACCAGGGATTCAACTCCACATTTCCCTTCTTAAAATCTGTTAAGTAAACTTCCCTCTCCTTGGTGGACTTCTAAAGTGTTATCTCTTGTTTATTTGCCTTGAGATTGGCTCTCACTATGCAGTCTAGGCAGGCCCAGGTTGGCCTCAAACTCAGAGCCTGAACCTCTCAAGTGTTTGGGTCATCCCTCTAATTTTATTGGAAAAGTTACAGTAACAACACATGTTAATTGTAGTAGAGGACTGTATACATAGTAACTATACATATTTATATCTGTATAGGAACAACAAATCTACACAGGATCAGTCAGTCTCTTCTGTGCTGCCCTTCCTGCCTGTTTGCAGTTGGATGACAAAGTAGCTTTGGCAAATGACTTCATTTTCCTGTGGCTCTTCTCCTCCATCCAAGTACGCACACTGTTTACTATTGGGCCATCTGGAGACCTCTGCCTCTTCCCTGTTAGGGTTTACTCTAGCAGGAAAGAATGCATTGAATAATCTGGGATGCAGATGCAATAGGGTCCTTACCAAGGGATTGTAACCTGCCAGGCCTAGCTCATCAGCCTCTACAGGGATGAGTGCAGGTGCCCAGCTAACTACTTTGCCTGGGAAATTGGGTGAACCTTAGCTAAAGAGCCCAGCCTTGCCTCTGGGCCTGATGATGGCCTGACCAAATTTTGATCCCTTATCCTCTTTCACCCATGTCAGATAGGTGTTCACATTGTCAGCCATAATTTGTCAAGGGCAACACTCCCTAGGTACCTGGTCCTGTAACCATGAGTCCACCCCCTTATAGCACCCCAGCTCCAGCTGGGAGTGGTCTCTGGGAAAAAGGATGCTTCCTTCTTAAAGGGTACATGGCCGAATGCTACAATGGGACTCAGGAGACATTGTGTCTCCCCTCTAGAGGAGTTGAGCATTTCTGTTCTGGAAGCGAGGTGGGTCTGGTGAACAGAAAATACTGCAGCCCTTCTTGAGGACTGGAGAGGAGCCTCCCACTTCGGGAACAGATTTCCCAGCCTGGAAATGCACTAATTATATGCAGCCCGATGGTAACACTTGCACATTAAAAAATAAATTTAAAAAAGAAATAATCAAGAAGGGCCATCGGCATGACTTAGTCAAACTTTGGGAATGAGGCCACTTTGTTTAGAGTCACAGTCTCAGATGGGCAGAGACTCGATAAGGCACTTACTCCACCCCTATTCTGTCCACTTCTAGTATCCATCTCAGGGGCCCTGACTCACTGAATGTTGGTCAAAAATCACTGATGCCGGAATGAATAAATGAACGAACGAACGAATGATGAGGTGGTTCCCGTTCAGCCCTTGCAGAGCCGGGATATTCCATACTTGCGCCAGCGCTCACCTTGTGCTGTTTCCAAGCTGCTCCCAGCGGCTTCACCTCGTGCTGGGCGTGCCGGCCTTCCTCCAGGCACACGTAGCACACCGGGCTCCGGCAGCTGGCACAGTACATGCTGTAGTTCTCCAGGTCGTGCTCCGGGCACGTGGGGAACTTGCGCGTCGCGCCACCGCCCGCGCCCCCAGGACTCTTGCAGCCGCCTCCCGCGCCAGAGACTACAGGGGCAGGCTCAGGGGGCGCGGGCGGCGGCGGTGGCTGCACCAGGCGGTGCTTGGCGAAGGGGCCCCGGGACGGATGGCACTTGAGCTGGCAGGCGGCGCAGTAGAGCACGTCGCACTGCTCGCAGAGCGCTGCGGCCGGCTCTGGCGGGGTGCGGTCGCACAGCTGGCAGACGGCCACTGCCGCGGCCGCAGACGCCCCCGGCGCCGCCCCGCGGCCCTGCTGGAAGCGCTGCACGATGGCCTCCAGCAGCCGGTTGCGCTGGAAGCCGCGCAGGCCGCGGTGGTCCAGGGAGGCGCTGCGGTGGCATTGCGGGCAGGTGATGGAGCTGGAGGAGCATGCGGCCAGAGACGAGCAGGCGGCGCCCCGGGCCGCGGCCGCCGAAGAGCCCGGGGGTGCGGGCACCGTGGGCAGCACGCGGACCCCGTTGGGGGACTTGAGGCTCGGCGTGTAGGAGCCGTAGCCGCTGTCCGTCTCGCTGTGCAGGCTCAGCTTGTCTGCGTGGTCTCCGCCGCCTGCAGCCGCGCCCCCCACGGCGCCCCCGGAGGCCCCCGCGCCTCCAGAGGCCGCCGGGTCCGAGTCTGGGCCTCGGGGCAGCAGGAGCGGCGGAGGCAGGTGCTGCTCGCCGTCCGGGGTCTGCACCGCGATGGTGCGCGCGCACGGCAGGCAGACATTGTGCGAGCAGGGCAGGATGATCGGCTCACGGAACAGGGCGCCGCACACCGGGCACTTCAGCTCCTCCTCCATTGCCGCGGTCCGAGCAGCCTGGGGCCGAGGGGCAGCGCGCGCGACTCTGGAGAACGGCGGGGGCCGGCCGGCTGGGTCGGCGCCACGGGGCGGGGAGCCGGGGGCATTCCCCGCGAGCCTGCAGCGAGCCTCCTCTCGGGGTCCTGCGGCCGCCGCCCGGGAGTACTGGGGGAGCGAAGGGCGCGTGCTCACCTCCCGCGCTCGCGGGGCCCGCGCGGCGGCCGGGGCTGGGTCCTCTCCGCTGCTGCTTCTGTCCTCGCCCCGCCCCGTCCGGCGCGGGCAGCTGCTGGCCCAGCACCAAGAGGTGGCGGACAGCGCCCCCGCGTGCGCCCTGCCGTCTCTCGTCTAGGGACCGGCCGGTGCACCCAGCAGTGACCTCGTCCCGCTGGCGGCGCTGCTCCTGCGGTGTCCCTGACCTTGGCCGTGCGACGCTGCAGCGGGGAGCGGGGGGCGGGTGCCGCCGGCTCGGGGACCCCCTCCCTGCCCGCGCCGCGCGCCCGGAGTTGTAATTTCCAGCGCGGAGAGGAATGGGGCGGGGAGGCGTCCGCGCAGCGAATAGGGGCTCGCCTCCTGCTGCCGGAGACGAGGGGCGATCCCGAGGATTTCGCGGGGAGGGTCCTGCTTAATAACTGCTCCCCGCACGGTGTGGATGGAGGGGGGCGGAGACCCTGCCCCGCCCGGTCTGCCGTCACGTCCCTTGCCTGCTCCCGCCCTCCCCACTCGCCTCATAAAAGGCTAAACACGGCTCTAAACGGCCAGCTTTTAGAAATGGATGGGCAGCACGGCGGAACAGTCTCCTGCTAAATCTAAGAGAAAGCAAAAAAAAAACAAAACAAAACAAAACAAAAACCTCAAGTCACAAAATGTCGGACTGCTTGGAGCCAAAGGGCGCGATTTTATTTATGACTCGAACCGCAGGCCATTTTGTCCCCGCGTTTCCACCCGGGTGTTCGGCCGAGTGGGGGTGGGTCGGGGTCTGCACTCGGGGCGGGGACCCGGCGGGGGGCGGGGCGGACGCGCGCCCGGAGACCCGCGAGCACGCGCGCAAGGCCGGCGGGGCGCGGTGGGCAGGTGTGTGCTTGTGAATGCAGGCCGCCGCCCCCAGCAGCCGTCTGTCTGCAGCAGGGCTCCTCCCTCGCCGCGCGAGGTGGTGCGGGCGCGCGGGCAAAGGCTCGCAGCGCAGCGGCTCGGCCGCAAGCATGTTCCGGAGCGTGGGCTTCAGACAGATCTGCCTGCGGAATTCGCGCCTTGCTGCTCCCGGGTCTCTGTGCTCCAGACAAAGAGGAAACCTGGTGCACACGCGGCAAGCGCGGGACCGAGCGTGCTCTGGTGCGGGACACTGCAGCCCTGCCTGGCCCGTGGGAGGGAGGCCACCGGGGAGGGGCGCAGACACACAGAACCTCGGGCTCAGGAACCCTCCCCTCAACCGGCACTCCGCCCTAGACGCTTGCTGATACTTTGCTTGCCTAGCACCCTGATCTGTCAGAGTAGGATTGTAATAACAGGTGTGAGAAACAAACGTGATCATTGTAAATACAGACTGGCGCCCTACTTCCTGTGCAACCTCAGTTCAACTTCGCCCCTGCTGAGCAGCTTGCTTTCGAGGTCTTCAGTGTGAAGAGCGGGCCAACCTGACATCAGACAGAGGCCACATGGGGATAAGAAGCCTGGCTGTCCTTCCCCTCCAAGAGGGAGCCACGGGTGCACCTAGCATCAGTATCTTCGGGTGGGGGATGGTGGCTCCTGTCCTAATCTCCCTTCCACAGCTGAGGCGCACGAGCTGAGTGCTGCCTGCAATGCTCCCACGAGCCCTAGAGAAGGTGGCTATGGAACCCTCTGGTCATGTCAGGGGTGCTGTGCAGAGGCAACCAAACGCAGGTATATGTGTCCCCCTGACGGGATCAGGTCTGGCCGGCTCAGCCCCGAGTTCTGATGGCTGCAGTGGAGGTCACAACCTCTACTGGGAACAGGCGACCCCTGACCCCCAGTCATCATATACCTGACACCTGTTTTGTTTTGCCATTTACAAACCAAAGCAAACGCATTGGTTTGGGGGTGCATGGCTTCTTGGAGGGTACACAAGTCTTAGGAAGCTGTTCCTTGCTCCAGCTGAGCACAGCTTGGTTTTCCTTGAGGAGGGTGCTCGCCTAATGCATCAGGATTCCACACCTATGCCTTTCTCACATGTCCTCCACCACACAGCCCCAATTCTATGGCCCGGGTCAGCCTGGCCTTGTACTCTCCTGGGGCCCAGGCTTCGCCCTTTTGGAGGACTGGTACCCCGCCCTTGCTTTGCTGGAGCTGAGACTGCAGCCAGTCTCAAGCTTCTCTGTACTAACCAACAATTGTCAAAGTCCTCATTCTGTCCCAACCGTGCCATGAACCATGTGCATAGGAAAGTCACCTAATCCCTCTGAACCTCGGTTTTTCCCTATTATAAAATTTAGGGGTAGAATTCATTGAATTTTAAATTGCCTTCTGGCTCTAGATCTCTGCATATTAGTTGTTAAGAAGGATATACTCCACTTTTTAAAAAAATTACTTTCATAAAGAAATTTAATCCCAGTCTAGGATGACATATCCACTTTTCCAAGTTACTGGTATATTATTAAAGGCTGGCCTGAGCAGCTGGTGAGTTAAGCAATAGTATTTGCATTGTAAAACTTAACAGCATGAAATTATATTCTCCTATGTAATCTTATTTAATTCTTACAACCCAGGAACTAGGCATCACATTTCCCCAAGTTTGAATAGTGCATATATTTACATTTAATGCTGAAATCAAGAAATATGCTCCAACTGACCCACACCTCACTCCCCATCCTTCCCTGGCACATTTTTTGGTGAACTGATGGTGTTTCATACAATCACTTGGAGTCCTGGAAAGAGTATTTGTGATTACTCGTAATTAACAGTCCACAACCCACTGCCATCAAAGCAGAGAAAGGCACCAGAATGAGTAGCTTTGGATAATGTTCTCCACTGTGAGTTTCACCCCTCATGTCTCAGAAATGCTCAAGAGATAGACTCTTGTTACCTCCACCAAAAAATATACAGACACATTAACTGATTTACTCTGGCAAACATAGAAAGTTAGAAATAAAACAGTCATCCACATGGACTGCAGAACTCTTTGAGTTTCAAGTTGAAATAGAATGGAAGTTAAGTCTTTACTGGCTAAAAATAGATATGGAAATTTCAAGTACAAGAATCTCTAGACAAATTTTAAATAAAAGATTATGGTGTTTTTCTTTCAGTTCAGTTTGTTTATTTTTGCAGTGTAGAAGGATTCAGGGAAATGAACAGAGATCTACAGCCCCAGAATTGCACAACCTGGAATAGTTGGCCTTTGACTCAAAGAAAGTGGCCACACCCAACCCTTTGTGGCAAAATTAATGAGGAACAATCATCACTAGCCACACGAAGCATCCTCTCCCAGAAGTACAATTGACTTCTCTTCCAGAAAACAGATTTTATAAAATAATCTTAAAATCTAAAAAAAACAACAACAAAAAACCTTTGCATTTGGAGACAGCCTCAAAAAAAAAAAAAAAAAAAAATCTAGCCACTTAGGCTTGAAACTCTTCAACTGGTGGTTAACGATCTTGTTTTAATATTTTGAGTACCCAACAACTACCTCCTTCTAATTCTGAGACCCACTTTCTCTGGAGGTCAGTGGTCTAGTCTTAGAAAATCTGCCTTGGGCTGGAGATTTAGCTCTGTGGCATAAGCACCTGTCCAGCAAGCACAAGGTCCTGAGTTTGATTCCTGGTACCCGCCAAAAAAACAACCTGAAAATAGAAAACCTGCTTTTCCCTCTTTTGCAAGAAGCCTGTAGAATCAAATCACAGACAGAGCAAAATGATTTCAATTTTCAGGTTCTTTATGTGCCCAGGGTATCTTTACAATGCAAAAAAAAAAAAAAAAAAAAAAGCAAAAAAAAACCCTCTAATATTATTACGGCTAAATGGATTTGGGCTCCATGCACTTCTCCCTGGTTGCAATGGCACTCTTTCATTTCTCTTATTTAATTTGAGCCCCACAGCAACATGGACTGGCCTAGGGGACAGTGAGATTGGCAAGTTCTCACCAGCCAAACCACAACAGCTTGACCCCAATCCCAGACACAGCAGTTTAGTACAGGCAGGCGCTGGACGCAGCTGGGACAACCAGAATCCTCCTTATACAGAATGTAGAATTGGGAACCAGAAAAGGGATCTGGATGGGCCTCTAATGCAGAGATTAAGGAACTTCTGTGTTCTGGAAAAATCAAAAAGAGCAGAGAGCAAAGAGTAAAGCAGAAATTCAGAGAAAAGAGGTAGTCTCCTGAGGGTCTTCAAGCCTGGCACATGTCTGGAACATCTCCCTCCCTCCCTCTCTCTCTATTTATCTCTCCTTTGTATATATTTCCCTTTACTCCCCCACCAAAAAAACCTACCAGGTAGAGGGGTTCAGAAAAGATGAGATGGGTTGATCCACCTACCTATGCAGACAGTTAGGGAGACCCCCTTATTTTGTTGGATACTTTAATTACCTCTGTCTGGACCTTTCTGCTTATTTTGTTTCTCCTGGAGTCTGACCTTGACTGTTGGTTTTGCCCTTCCCATTCTTGGATGCTATTTTCTGCCCACAGTTTGACTTTTGTGGTCAATTAAGTGTCCCCTCCCCTTTCTCCTCCTCGCCACTGACTCTAATGGGCTGTGTCCTTCCCTCTGCTGGCTCCCAGCTTCCTCTCCCTGACCGCAGCAGGACCTGGCTGCACAGTGTCTTTGCTCTCTCCACTCAGTATTCTCTCTGACAGGAAATCAATGGGATGTCGGGATATACTTGGTAAGGCCTGTGAGTTCAGTTGCATCCCAGGGTAGAACAAAGAGCAAGCCCCCAAGGTTTGTAAGCTGCAGGGCATTACATGGTGGATAGAAAGTTATTTGTGGGAAATGATGGTGATCAGAGCAAAAGTTGTGGACTACTGTGTGGAGGTGCTTCAAACACCAATAGTTCAATTCAGCCATCTCCCTGCAGGGCTCTGCCACAGGGGAAAGGGCAGACCATCTCCAGCATGGCAGAGTGCTGGTGGTCACACACCACCCTATCA